CTATTGGGGTCAGGGCCAGCAGTTGGCATAATGGCTATGTTGCTGGACTCCCGTGTAGTTGACCGTGGTTTGAGTCCTGGACCTGGTGGCTTGCTTAAACTCACACCGGGTGCATGTGTGTGTGTTCCCAAGATCCCAAGAAGAGAATGGAGGAGAAGGGATTGTGGCGTGGTCATCACCCCTGGGGGGTGATTTCTCTCTCTCTCTCTCTCTCTCTCTCTCTGTCTTTCTGGCGAGTGCACGTGCCCTATAGCAAAAACTTCTCCTCCCAGTCCCCCCCACAAAAGAGTCTATTGCAGGCAGGACCAGCAGTTGGCATAATGGCGGTTCGAGTCCTGGACCCAATGGCTTAACTCACACCAGGTGCATGTGCGTGCATGTCCAAGATCCCGAGAGAAGAATGGAAGAGAAGGGATTGCGATGTGGCCATCCCCCTGGGGGGTGATTCTCGCTTTCTGTCTCTCTGTCTTTCTGGCGTGCACACATGCCCTATTGCAAACACCTCTCCAAAAAAAAAAAGAAAAGAAAAGAAAAAAAAAATACATCTATGGGGGGTGTTGTCTTATCTCTCTGTCTCTCATTCTCTCTCTCTGTCATTCTTGTCGTAGAACAAAAAAAGAAAGAAAGTTGGGGCCAGCAGGTGGTGTGGAGGCTAAAGTGCTGAACTCCCTCACGACTGACCCTAGTTGGAGTCCCAAACCTCACAGCCTGAAAATCACACTGCGTACATGTGCATGCAGACCCAAAATCCTGAGAGGAAAATGAAGGAGAAGGAATTGCAGCATGGCCATCCCCCTGGAGAGTCCTTTCTCACTTCCTTCTCTCTGTCTCTCTCCAATGAGCACATACACCCTATGACAAAAACCTTAAAAGAAAGAAAGTTAATTTTAAAAACATAGTACTTAAACTAATCAGAGAGCTCGGGTTGAAGTTCAGGCTACAATTTACCAGCCGTTTGACCTAAACCTCGCAGACCATGATTTTCCCATTTGTATATTGGGCATAGCTTCCTTGGTCTCACAGGATTGTTTCAAGGATCAAACGAGACAGAGCATTCGAAAGCGTCTTTATGCTTTATGACAGAGACGGCGCTAGTTACAGGCAGGAAGGAGGGAAGCCATAACACCGTGGAACTGTGCTCAAGGGTAGGTCCATGTCTTCATTGACTTTGTGTCCCCAGCCGCCCCGTCTGGCACTGTGCCTGGCTGTGACAGGGGGCTCAGTAAATGTTTGTATATGCATGTGTGCCAGGCACCATGGTAAGCCCTTGACACATATTATCCTTTATACCTTCACAAAAACATCTTGTATGTTCGATACACTGTCTCCATTTCCCAGGTGAGCCAATGGAAGTTCAGACTTTTCAGCAATGCCCAACCTCAGGCAATCAGAAAGTAGTAGAGTCAGGGCAGGAAGTTACATCTGTCTGGCATTGGGGCACAGACTCTGTTCATCCATCATGTGGGCTCTCTGATATAAGGGAACTATCCTCATTTCTGAACAAAACTGTGTCCCAAATGCAAAGCAAAAGACCTTGGGTAATTCCCCAGTTTCCCCGACAGCTCCTGGGCCGGCTTTCAGATAAAGAGGAGAACAGTTCCTTGAACTGCCTGACACATTTAACATAGCCTTTTGTTCAACCATCAGTTCTGATTTCTGCCCTTTGAAGTAAGGTGCACAATAGTGAGAAAATACCCTGTAATATACCATAACCTAGACTTGTCACAGGGAGAGGAGAAAGGAGGGCAGTGAGGAACTGAGACAATGAAGTGGTTAACCAACAACTTGGCTTGAGTGGACTGCACCCTCTAGCTACCTCTTCCGCCTGCTATCTCTGTCTCTTGTGTCTCTCACCCTCTGGTAAATTCTCTCCTAGGCTTGGCAAAGTCTAGAATTTCCACTTCTTCATATTAAGGATGTAATCAAGAAGGCTGTTCCGCTGCTGAGCAGTGTATTCCATGTTCTTCACGGTGCGTCTTCTCTTAGTATCCCTATGGCCTTCTAATGGTTGATTCTGCTGGAGTGGAGTTTCACAGTTGCCCTCAGTTTACAATGAATAATAATAAAATGCCCCCAACAATTTAGTCATTTACAACTCCAGCCTCTGGATTGGAAAACAGAACATAGACTTTAGTAGCACATGATCCAATCCTGTATTATTTTCCCCTGAGTTTATTTCAGAGGGATATCCGAGGAGCTTTCAAATCACAGGTTTATAAAAGAAATAGAAACAAATTTTTAAATTTTGGACTCATGGTACAAATTTGGTTAAAATATGTAGTACATGTTGGGTCAGGATAGCAGAGACAGAAACAACAGAGAAGTTCAGGGAATGCCTTACATTGTTGTCAAAGTCCAGCCAGTAACAGTGTTTTGGTTTCCCAGCTACTGCACTAACATACCCGAGACGAAACCCGGTGGGGAGACGCTTTGCACACTCCTCCCTGACCTGTGGTGAGTCTGCCGGGTTGAATTGTGTGAAGTTGTCAAAGGTTGCTCTGCGCTCCAGCACTTGGCACCAGCTCCTCTGAAATGTGATGCCATTGGTTTTCAGTAAAGGTTCCTTTCTGCAGGGCTGCAAACACAGATCAGCTGCTACTGTGTATACACAACCAGGGAGCAAATCAACCAGCACATTTAAAGCAGCCTTTTTAACCCTGAGACTTTCCAAGATCTCCTCTTCACACAGGAAGTTTCCTGCTCTGTTGTCAGATTTAGCACTGTGCTCTTGTCATCAGATCCGAGCTAGGCTCCCTGCTGCACAGTAGAGAGGCTTCCTTAAGACATTTGTCCTTGAAACTGCACCAAACTCTTGGAAGAACCCAGAACGTGTAAGTATGTATGATTTAGGCAGCAATCGTACAGGGCAAAGCTGCAATCAACCATTATACAATATCCGATTAGCAGTGCAGGAGGGATTTTTCCAACGTTCTGTTACATTCATTTTCAATTCGTTCTGAGGAAACAAATCAATTCTAGCTTCTGATACAGTGACTTTGCAGTAGACGGGGTTGTAATATGTTAGCTTTAACTATTTGCTGTGCTCATTTATCATTTAGATGTGACTTGTGGGACAATTATTGTGGGCATTAAACTATAAAACTCCTAAATTTTTATTAGGAATTATAATTGTTGGTCAGGTCCATCTTGAGAAACAAGGTAGCTGTGGGAAATGTTTTTTTTTTTTTAATTTTAAATTAACCCTGTAAATTCATGGACAATAGAATTAATTTGTACTGTTCTTGCTCTTAATAAAACATATTAGTTTGTAGTTTTAATTTACTCATGGAGAGCATTCCACTGAGATTTTTGTCTTAATTGAATTCTACTCAGTGCTGTCTGTCTGGTATTGTACTGTCTTATGTGTATCTGTTTAAGTTACTTTGTTGGGATTGCAGTCTGGTTAGATCTGTCTTTAGACACGATTTCAATTCTCAGGCCATACAGGTAGAATGAGCACTGAGAGTTTTGGAAAGCAGTGGATTTGTTTTTCAAGGTGGTCGTTTTACCCCAGAAAGCTTTTAAGACGTTCAACAGAAAGGGCTGTCAGATGGCTACCACAGCCTGAACCCTGAAGTCTCTAAGTCAAATCGCTGCTTGTCCACTTCTGTTAACTCCAGCGAGTAACAGCCCGTGCCCCCCTCCTATCAATTTTTAATACACAACAATACTTATATTTCTAAGATTAATTTCTCTCAGATTAGTCTGATTGATAGCTGGATTGTGGTTTCTTAAGAGCTGGCTCCCTGAAACCCACAGCAGAGCAACATTCCATTTAACTAGTGAATGTAAAAACGGGTAACCATGGATTCAGCCACCACTAACTGCCAGTACAATGACTTGTTGTAAACAATACAAATGAGCCAGGAGAGCAGAGGCAACCAGACATGAAATGATTTTAATAGAAATTACGGTAAAAGGTCATGTGATTTGGTATCAGCTTCTGTTCAGTTTTCAAGGGAAAGTCTGTCTTTTCTCCCCCTTCCTCCCCCCGCTCACCTATTTCCAACCAACTCAAGTAGGTATCTCCGTAAACTTGGCAAGTCCCCCTCTGTGAGCCAGGAGAGCAGAGGCAACCAGACATGAAATGATTTTAATAGAAATTACGGTAAAAGGTCATGTGATTTGGTATCAGCTTCTGTTCAGTTTTAAAGGGAAAGTCTGTCTTTTCTCCCCCTTCCTCCCCCCGCTCACCTATTTCCAACCAACTCCGTAAACTTGGCAAGTGCCCCTCTGTGCCTTCGTGCAGAGGGTGGCCAATGTAATTCTGGGCAAGGCATGGTGACTTGTGGATTTTCACTGGTAAGTACCTTTATTTTAGAAACAAAAAAGGAAGACTGTGTATGTTAGAGCTTCCTTTATAGAAGGTCATGATAATTGCAGACTAGAAGTTCTCAAGCCTTGACATAAGAGGAATGGGTCAGTTCATTCCTTAGCTTTAAAATGGTATGGCTGTCTTTTCTTTCCTTTCCCAAGTTTCTGGATTAATTCATAACCTCGGTCTCTCTGAAAATTGTTAGTGGCTTTAGAAACAACTCCTGCAATAGGATAAGAAGCACATGTAGATATGGTGACAAAGGCTGTGTCCAACCTCGGGGTTTTCATCCACCCAGACTTTTTTTTTTTTCTGAATTCTGTAAGGATCAAGTTTTACACTAATATTTGCATTTCTCATGTAGAGATGGTTTCTGTACGTGTAAATGATTGTATTCATAAATTTGCCTTCGTCCAAGGAAAAGGAGCAAATGGTACCTGTGTTAAGTGCTAACCTTATGGTTTATTAGATACACTATTATTAGCTATGCTGCTTAAAGGGAAATGAAAGAAGAAACTCTAGTATTCAAAGTTGAGGGAGAAAAAGGGATACTTAGAAGCACAGCTGTTTCTTTATCCAGATTTCTAGGGCAGACTTAGTTGGTCTACAGTATGCAAGAATGAAGCTGCTCTGAGGCACTGTCTATCAAACCACAGGCACTTTAAGCACAGGACTCTGTCCAGGCGTGTTGTGTCTCAAGGTGAAACAGACCTGAACTGGTTTCTTAAACCACATCAACTTCCACAGACAGACGGTGAAATAATTGTATCATCTTGGAACGAAAGATAATGCTATGTGTATATTTTATCTGCATTTCACATAGAGATTCTTCTGCGTAGAGGCAGAGTTGTGCGTATATAGATGTCATAATAAATGATAGAATTTCAGGTGCATGTATTTCTACAAATACCTCTACTATGATAGAATAGGTCAGCACATGAAAAAGAATGAGGGCCATGATTTAGAAAGCTCCGTAAGAGGTGGGATTATCAGCCCCCTCTGTATATACCGAAGATTTTATCTAGCAACTCAGTTTAGAACTCTAAGTCTCAAATGTTACCATAGCACTTATATTTAAGCTTTTATTTATTTGTTTTTTAAAGAATCGATCATTTAAAGATATTGGAAAGCTGTATTGCATGCTTTTGACTGAAAAAAAATCTTCAAAATGTTATGGTCAGGGCTGTGGTCTCCTGCTTTGTTTGCTATTCTAATATCAGCTGTACTTAGCAAAAAGAAATGAAAGAAGAAACTCTAGAAATTAATGTTGGGAAGGAAAGGAGCAATTTGTAGCTCATGAAAACAAACCCCAAGGTTCAAGTAAGTAAATTATAATTTAAAAAAATACGTTATTTTTTACTTTTCCTAACCTTGATTCTTTAAGCTGAAAGCCAGGACTGAACATGTCCACTACAGGGTGGTTAGAAGAAGCACGGTCTTTGGGGTGAAACATGGGCTGGAGTTCTTGCTCTTAACCTCACTTTGTTCAAGCCTTCAGGCAGAGGGACTTCATCTCCATGACCTACCGCATCCTCATTTATAATGTCACGTGAATAATGCATGGAAAAATTTAACACACTGTTTGGCATAGTAAATGCTCAATATACTGATGCTAGTTACAGTGTTATTTTTGGTTGTGGAGAACTTTAGCTAACTATTTGCTTGACAGAGAAGGATTATATTCACATGATAGTTTGGTCCTGTTCTAGTGGCAATTATACATTGCAGTAATTTGTCATCATTTGGGAGATGGTGATTCAGTCTATAGCCTAATGTAGTGTTTTAGAAAATATTGGAGCCAGCAGGTGGCGTGGTTAAGGACTCTGGATTCCCACATGGCCGACTACAATGTGAGGCCTGAAGGGCCTGGTGGCTTACTTTCTCACTTTCTTTCTTCCTCTCTCTATGTCCCTCTCTGCTCAAATCAAAATAAATAAATAAATAAAGTTAAATAAAGTAATTCTTTTAAAAAAATTTTAATTGAGGTACCAGTAGATGGCATAATGATTATGTTGCTGGACTCCCATGTAGTCAACTACAGTTCTAGTCCTGGACCTGGTAGCTTGAAACTTGTGGCGGATATGTGTGTGTGCATGCCCAGAATCCTAAAAGGAGAATGGAGAAGAATGGATTGTGGATTGTGGCATAGAAATCCCCCTGGAAGGTGATTTTTTGCTTTCTGTCTCTCTGGCAAACACATGTGCCCTACAGCAAAATCTCTCTTAAAAATACATAAGTAAATAAATAACTAAGATATTTATTGAAAGCCAAAAGTAATATGGTATGATATGTTTTTAAATTTTCATGCAGATTAGAGAAACTCATTAAGATTTTTTGCATTTAGGATTTCTGATACTGTGGGTATTAAGGCTATGTGAACATAGTATGAGCCTATCAATAGAAATGAGAGAAGATGGATATTTAAAAGTGTAAGACATTCAGGACCAGCAGTTAGCGTAATGGCTATGTCGCTGGACTCCCATGTAGTCGACCGGGGTTTGCGTCCCAGACCTGGTGGCTTAAACTCATGCTGGGTGCGTGTGCATGCGTGCCCAAGATTCTGAGAGGAGAATGGAGGAGGAGGGATTGTGGCGTGGTCATCCCTCCAGGAGGGGATTTCTAGCTTTCTGTCTCTCTGTCTTTCTGGCGAGTGCACGCGTCCTATAACGAACCCCCCCCCAAAAAAAAAGTGTAAGACATTCATAATGACATAAATCCTAAAAGCTTAAAATTATTGGCCTCTAATTGGTTTTAAAGGTATTCATATAGAGCCAGTCCATGGCATGGTGGGTAAAGTAACTGGATCCCACTTGGCCTACTGCATGGTTCAAGTCCTAGACCTGGTGGCTTAAAAAACACGCTAGGCACATGTATATGCATATCCAAAATCCCAAAAGAGGGAGGGATGGAGGAGAAGGGATTGCAATAAGACTATTCCCCTTGGGGTTGGGTGAGGCGGCTGCTTTCTCACTTTCTCTTTCTCTCTCTTGAAAGCACATGTACTCTGTAAGAAAAAAAAGTATTTATATAAAGTCTTGTGTTGCTTAAAAATGGGAATACATTGGTTAGGCAACATTGCTGTTGTGTGAACATTTTAGTGTCTTTTATAAGCCTAGATGGAATAGCTTACTCCATGCTTGGTGTATACACTATAATCTAAATGAGGGATATTCATAAAGCTCATGGAAAAGCAGATTATGGAAGAATGACCTATGGATTTAAAAGTTTTTTGGCACCAAAATAAAATTTTACTCGAATTCCATTTTCTACAAACTTTTTCAAGGCCCCTTGTATTCTTCTTATGGGACCACCATCACACATGTGGCCCCTTGTCGCTGCAATGCTATTATGTGGGGCATGGCTCATATAATCCTAGCAAGCAGTAATAATTAACAGGATGGTTGGGTGAAGGTTATAAGCTATTAAAGAAACATCTCTTCAGAATATCATCTATGTGTTCACTGTGTTCTCTAAGCCTCCTGAAATCTAAGGGTCTTGTTCCCAGTTTCCTCTGTC